TGATGACGACGGACTGAACGAGGTGGAGCAGCTCGCGTTCTGATCCACATCACTTTCCTTAAAGCCTTTTTCACACTTCGAAGCCTTCGAGTCTCGGTTATTTGTGTCCGCGGGCGGCGGGGAGGTGGAGGCGCCGTGAAACCTTTGACCTCTTTGCGGGCGAGTTTTTAAAAGGAGTTCATGTATCATTTTAATATACATTAGTTATTATTCTCCAATAAACTGCCTGGGATTTATGGGTTACATGACGGGAACGTCTGTGGCCTCTTATTTCTGTGCTCTAATAATCATTTTTTCAAATACATACAGTGCATTTTTGCCAATAAAAATACATTTTTCAATAAAAAAAATCAAAATGGGGTCTCATTAAAACTTTTCCTTGATATTTCAATATTTCATTTATTCATAGTTTCGTATCATATGTATAAGAGCACAAAGCTCCCCAAGTCAATCTGAGAGCAAAATACATTGTTCTGTCTGTTGAAATCGGCCAGATTTCCTTCTATAATTAAAATTCTACATTTTCTCCTAATGAACCAAAAGTCCCAATGAAGGATTGTCATGAGTGTTTTTTTTAATCACTTTTGCGACAGCAGATATAAAAGGTCAAAGGTGGAGCTTCTGTGCCGTGCAGTACCACCTCCCTGCCAGCGGAGGCAGCAGAACACCTGACCGGAGCGGCCAATCGGAGCTCAGCGCTCCACTCTCAACTAAAGCAACATGGCTGAGGTTTCGTCTTCTGCGTTGTGGTTCTGGAGGATCTGAACATCGGTGGGCGTGTGCATGTCTGCATGTGTGTGTCTCTGCATGTGTGTGTCTCGGCATGCGTGTGCGTGTGCGTGTGTGTGTGTGAGATCAGGACCACTGGCAGGAGCACTCGGTGGGCTCCTGGATGCTGTAGCTGACCCAGGTTGCGTTGCCGCTGCAGTAGAGTTGCACGGAGCGCCGCTGCAGGCCCGTCTCCCGGCAGCACTTGCAGAAGCGAGCGTAGGTGTTGATGTTGTAGTTGTAGATGCTGGCGGACGGACACTTCCCGTCACATGACACAATGTTCACCTGGCAGGTGAGAGGACCACAGGTGTTATATAAATGGGGTGATTTATCGTTAACGGGGGGGGAACAATAATAAATCCTAAAACGTATTAAAATGCACACTACATAGATAAATAGGCGCCGGACGTTAACGCTGTGGTCACAGTACGTTTACTTCCTCTACTTCAGACTTTTCTCCAGGACGTACCGGCCTGTTGCTGCGACGATCGTTCTTCCTGATGGTCATCCTCACCGTGACCTTCTGACAAGACTTCCCGTCTTCTTTGCCTGTTCACCCGACAACGGACCACATCAGTTAACGTGAGATATACAAAAGAAAAAGGAGCAGGAGAAACCCCGTCTGGAGCTGCACCAGGAGACGCAGCAGATACCAGGAAGAGGAGGAAGGAATGACCAAGGAGTGAAGATCATGCATGAGATGTTTCAGTTAGACGAAGGACAAATATTTCACTTCACATGAAGCTAGAAAGCAACGGAAGGCTTCACAAACGAGGTAAAAAAACAAAATGTAAAGAGCTGAGGAGACGAATGTACCAAATGGGTTCAAAATAATCTTATCAAATATCAACACAAGTGTGTTTATAATATAAAAGGAATGAAATAAAAAGACAGCGTTAAACTGCCATGTGTAGCATCTGTCAAAGGTGAGTTTGCACATCCGTTCTGTCACCATCCATCAAGACTCTTGTAGTACTGTGTCACGTTCATAATTTGTACTAAAACCAATCCGGTGTCGTCCCTACGCGCCCTGAAATATGCAGTTATGGAGCCATTGGAGAAGGAAATTGTTTTTAATTTACTCCGTTGAGATTGTAGTCCCAATCAAATCCCCTTATTTCAAAAGGGACAGAGACCACTTTGTGTCTTTGGATTATGCGGAGTTCCCCTCAGCGCCGTTCTGGGGCCTCGTCTGTTTAAAATCGACATGCTCCCTTTGGCTCGGACTGTGGAAAACCACTGAAAGGTTACTATAATTACGCAGGTGACACGCAGACATTTACACAACGGGGGACTACGGTCCGAGTAAATGCATTGAACTATTAAGCAATTGGACTTTTCTTCAGAATGGATTTATTTGTTTAAAAAAGTCAGCACGAATCGTTAACGTTAGAAAGCGTAAACGAAGTCTTGAATGAAAGAGAATTTTCCTTCAATAACTCTGGACGACGAGAACAAGTTTATTTAGAGAGTTTCTGAATGAAACCACAGTGGATTCTCTGATGAGTATTTGACATGTGCCTCACACAGCAGCTCCGGGCTCCGCACACAGCGCCCCCTGGTGGCGGAGCCGCACAGCAGCATGCAGAGCTCCTACAGCGGTAACCCCCCCCCCCTCCCCTCCCGACACCGACCCAATTAGCCCTCTACTGAGACATGCAGACGTCTAAGCCGACTACCGGGCAACTACCAACAGCACATTGTTGGCAATCAACAATGCACTGCCCGGTGCTAAATGGGGAAACAGCTGTACATGTAGGTGATTCAAGGGGGGTGGAGGGAGGGTGGGGGGGGGGGGCGGGTTGAATACTCGTAACTGTGTGACATCGTTCTCGGCCTGCGTGAAGGATTTCGTCTCCGCCTCCGTTCAGGTGTCAAATCCAGTTTGGAAACGCCGTCGTCACGTTTTTTTAGAGACTCAAATAAATTAAAATAAGGGAACTTAGAAGGTGAAGCCAGGAGGCAACATGTGCTTCATGTGTTCTGAGTACTTATATTTTCTTGTTTCGGTGGAGGGTTTCGGTTTTATTCCAGCGGTTTTGACCTCGCAGAGACCTGAACTGAGGCGGCAGGTGAGAGGAGCGTTCTGCAGTCGGACCTCCTGCAGGTTTTATGGTTGGAGACTTTTTTGGAGGGAGTACATTGTTGAATAGCAACAATGGCACGGACAAGCCTTGTTGTTTTTGGTACCTCGTTCACAGTTTGTGTTAACTGTGGGAGTCATGGGGCTAAAGGGGAAAGGGAACAGAGAGAATCCAGTACCTGGATGGGGGGGAGGGAGGAGGGGGGGGGTTGGTACATGAAGGTAAGCTGCAGCACATCAACCAAAAAGCCATTTGCATGAAATCAGAGGCTTTTCAGGGACTAATCTACAGCTATCGTCCCTTTGAAGGGTCGTCCTCTGAGAAGCACGCCGACGAATATCTGCGCTCTGAACAAACACGTTTAACACCGGCGAGGATCCAGGTCGGCGCCGACACTTCTCCACCGGAGGGCCAACACGTGGGACACGTGGCAGGTGGAGGCGCTCTCCGGCGTCTACGGCGCTACGCTAACCACGCAGGCTGCGCCGGATCGGGGGGGGGGTACTCACACGTCTTGCAGCATCCGTCCACGTAACTTACGACGGTTCCGCCGACCTGAAGGGGAGACGCGAGATGATGAGGAGTCGGCTTTCAGGAGGTGCTTCTGCATCTTATGGCTGGAAGGCGACGGCGTTGTGAACCAGGGGCACCGAGGGAGGAACTCGTGCATCACAAATTGTCCTTCTATTGATCATTATTTAAGGTTTCAATCAATCGATGGAGACTCACCTGGCGGAGAAACCTTTGTGAGGTGTGTGTGTGTGTGTGTGTGTGTGCGCTCTGACCTTCATGCACTCGGTCTCGTTGAAGGGGGGGCAGCTGTACGAGTGGGAGATGAGCGTCGGCCCCGACAGAGTCTCCACGCAGTCGAACTTCACACAGTTGGAAACCCACGACTTCCCCGGCTGAAAACACACACGGCATCAACGGATTAGTAGTACTACTACTACTGATGTCCTCCAGTACCAGTACTACTACTACTGATGTCCTCCAGTACCAGTACTACTACTACTGATGTCCTCCAGTACCAGTACTACTACTACTGATGTCCTCCAGTACCAGTACTACTACTACTGATGTCCTCCAGTACCAGCACAAGTTAAAACTACAGGTAAGCGTTAGCGATGACGTTATGAGGAGTCACCTTGTGGAGGACCGCGGTCCCGTTCTCCTGTTCGTAGAGGCAGGAGATGTTCTTACAGACCCCCGCAACACGTGCTCTGGTCCTTTGGAGGAACGTAGACCTGGTTCTGAAACACGGGATCGGTCAGCGTGGGGATGTGTGTGTGTCTGTGTGTGCGTGTGCGTGCGTGTGTGTGTGGTCTCACCGGGCGGCAGTGGGCGGAGCAGTTGATGCTGGCGGTGCGCAGCAGGTGGAAGCCGCTCGCCGGGTCGAGGCTGCGGCTGCACTGCCGGCTGTGACACACGCCGTCGGCGTGGCGCTCCACCAGCGTCTGACCCGGACGCAGCACGCCGCGCTCGCCGAACACGCACACCGCCTCGCGCACTGACAAGGTCAGAGGTCACGGGGTGTCTTATCATCTGTTCGGCTTTAATTAACTGTGTGACGTGTCCGATGTAACTTCTATGTTATTCTTTGAGGGGAAACATGAATCGGTGAGAGTGAAAAGTGGAGGAACTCACCACACTTGTATCTTTTGCAGGCGCACTGGTTGTGCGGGTCGGACGGGGAGGCCCGGTCCAGCTGGGCGGCTTCTCCCTGAGCGCCGGATCACAAACATTATGATGATACTCGCGTTCTAGTGTCTTCATCTTCACCCGCACACACACACACACACACACACCCGCCGCCCTCTGGCTCCATTTCATTATTACATGTTTCTGGGCGGCAACATCTTTTTAAAAAAAACAAGTACAAAAACGGCGAGCAAATAACAACACAGCGAAGAGACGGAACCCATGTGGGATTTGTTGTGAGGGGATCTTACTGCCTTTGAGAACGTGGAAATAAATACCACAAACCAGCTGATTGTGTACATGGTATCAGATACGTTGTCATATAGAAGTGAGTAACGCACCAGGCCACATTTAGGGGAGGCGATCTTCTCACAGGAACACTCTGAAGTCACAAGGAAAGGAATCAGCTGTTAGTCCTTTGTTTTGTGGCAGGTGGGAGTGGATCTCAATCTTATTTAAAAGACGGTTCGTACCGCATGTTTGTTCCGGACAACAGCGACCCGGACTGGAGCCGGACGCCACCGACATCCCAACGGGACAGACAAGCACAGGACACCTGGAGGGCTCACACACTGCGCGCACACACACACACACAGCAAAACTAGTCATGGCGCTTCTGGTCACGCCTGTCAATTGTAGTAAGCCCCGCCCTAAAGCGTCCCCTGCTTTATGGTCTGTTTGACTCTAAATGGACCATAATTCACTAAATGAACATCATGTTGTATTGAAGAAGAGTTTAAACTAGAGACTGAGACCATAAACTCATGTTTACAATGTTTACTGAGGGAATAAATCAAGAGAGAAGTAGAGTCATTTCCTCATAGACGTCTATGGGAGCAGAGGAGTCGCCCCCTGCTGGTCACTACAGAGAAGTAGAGTCATTTCCTCATAGACGTCTATGGGAGCAGAGGAGTCGCCCCCTGCTGGTCACTACAGAGAAGTAGAGTCATTTCCTCATAGACGTCTATGGGAGCAGAGGAGTCGCCCCCTGCTGGTCACTACAGAGAAGTAGAGTCATTTCCTCATAGACGTCTATGAGAGCAGAGGAGTCGCCCCCTGCTGGTCACTACACAGAATGCAGCTTTAACACGTTTCACACCTGATTTTAACGTTTGTGGTACTTCATGCACAAAAAACATCAGGGCAAATTCCTTCTGTGTGTAAACCAACAAATGTACACACAGATATGCATCTATTACAAAAGAATGTCTTAAATGTGTGTGTGTGTGTGTGTGTGTGTGTGTGTGTGTGTGTGTTATCTGACCACACTGGTAGGCGGGGCAGCAGCGATCCGTGGCGTTCCCGTCCACCGTCAGCACCTCGCCGTCCTGGCAGAGAGGAGGCGCCCCCGTGCAGGAAGAACACACTGCGGTGAAAAAGACACACACGTTTGCTCACAGCGACGGCTTTGCGCTTCCCCCCGGGGGTGGAATGTTTGTGATTTGGGAACTGACTGCAGATGTGGGCGAGGCAGCAGCTGCCGTCGGCGCGGGTGGCGATCGCCGTCTGGTCGCCTCGGCAGGCGGGAACGTCCGACTCGCAGAGGTCGGGATCGCACTCTGAGACACGGCAACGATGAAGGAAAAGGTCATAAATCGTGTTAAATTAGAAAATACACCACTTTCATATCTGCATATACAATGCAAACCCTGAGGATGCTAGCGTAGCTTAGCATAAAGACAGAGTCCAATGATAAACTCACCACACACGTAGTCCGGGCAGCAGGAGTCGGCTCTGTAGTACGACACCAGCTTCTCCCCGTATTTACACCGCGGGGGGGCGGAGTCACACAGGCTCTGGTTGCACACTGCGCACAGTTAACACAACGACACGTCCATGAGTCACACGCTTGTGGCGCTTTCCTCCGGGAGATCCGGCGCTTCGGGGCAGCGCGCCTCACCGCAGACTTTCCGCGGGCAGCAGCTGGCGTCGTCGGCGAGGCCCACGAGGACCTCGGCGGCCCGCCGGCACGGCGGCGGGGGCGGCGCGGCGGCGCAGTCGTACTCCACCGGGAGGACGACGTCGTTGTCGCAGCGGTACATGCAGCAGCGTCCTCGGAGGCCTTCCACACGTCGCCGTGTGCGCGGGGAACGCCGGCGCTGTCGGTGCAGGCTGCGGAACACACGGCGTCTGATGTGGCAAAAGGCTTCTGAGGGTGGAGCTCTGACTGATGCTAAGCTAGGCTAACATTGATAGTGTTACGTTTCTCGAGGAGAATGTGAACGCCGATGGAAGCCGTTCCAGAGGTTACGCAAGTTAATTCTGACCATTTGAATAAATAAATGAACAACACGCCGACGGGCACAGTCCAAGATGGCGTCGGCGAGCTAGAGGGCGGTACACGGCGGCCTCACCACACTTGTCCGGGGGGATGCACAGGGCGGAGTAGGGCCGGTGGAGGAGGGTTCCCTCGGGGCACACGCAGCCCTCCGTCAGGCCCGAGCACGGGTCCGGGTCCGAGTCGAAGTCGTGGTTGGGGCAGGACTGGGAGGTGCAGGCCGGCAGGCAGGCCTGGTAGCGCAAGGGCCCCGGGGCAGGAGAAGGCTGCAGCGGGGCATTAAGACAAGGGGGCTCTGTTGACTTACTCCACATTTAAGACTCTGCGTGGTCATGAAACATGAGGCGTCCACAGAAGGCTCACGGCAGTAGTCCCGCCTCCTCCACTCGATGCAGATGTTGAACTTGTGGCAGGAAGCGACGTAGGCGGCCAGCGCCACACACTGGTTGTTCACGTACTCTTCGTCGCGCACCCACACCTCGCAGAAGGTGCTCGGAGGGACCTGCAAACGAGAAGAACAGATCTTCTCATTATATGGTGGCGGGGGTCCACCAGCTGGGTTAAAGACTCGGCGAGGGGGGGTACGTACGAAGGCGCTGCAGGGCTGGAAGGCCTCGTCCTGCAGCATCAGCAGGCAGGCGGAGCAGTCGCTGGTGGAGCAGTTGAGCGGGCGGCGGCGGCTGTGGCTGATGTAGCTGGTGGTGTTGGGGACCTGCCAGCTGTCAATGAACACGTCCGGATCCTCGCCGGCGCCAACCGTGGAGCCGTTGGCCGGGGCTACACGCTGATTGACAGGTCTCTAACAGGCCATAAAGCAGGGGAAGCTCCAGGGGCGGGGCTACACGCTGATTGACATGTCTCTAACAGACCATAAAGCAGGGGAAGCTCCAGGGCGGGGCTACACGCTGATTGACAGGTCTCTAACAGACCATAAAGCAGGGGAAGCTCCAGGGCGGGGCTACACAGTGATTGACAAGTCTCTAACAGACCATAAAGCAGGGGAGGCTTCAGGGCGGGGCTACACGCTGATTGACAGGTCTCTAACAGACCATAAAGCAGGGGAGGCTTCAGGGCGGGGCTACACGCTGATTGACAGGTCTCTAACAGACCATAAAGCAGGGGAGGCTTCAGGGCGGGGCTACACGCTGCAGGGGAGGCTTCAGGGCGGGGCTACAGGCTGATTGACAGGTCTCTAACAGACCATAAAGCAGGAGATGCTTCAGTGTTCTAAAGGGTGACTCACCACAGAGGCCCATGGCGTGCAGCTTGCTGCCCGAGCTGTCGGTGTCGATGACCAGCATGCCGGTGCTGTGGTACCACTGCAGCTTGAGACCGGCCGGGCTGCGGATCAGGTACATGTTGCCCGTGTCGTAGACCTCGAAGCCGAACTTCTTGAAGCGGGGCTTGGCGTAGCGCGAGTTGACGTAGAGCTGAAAGAGGAGGAAGACGAGGAAGACGAGGCCTTGAGACGCTGCCTGTGGTTAAGGGCAAAGTGGTGGAATGCGGAGCCTCACCCGCCGCTGCAGCCTGTTGACGATGACGTGGTCCGATTGGTGCGTGATGTTCAGCGCCACCAGACACAAGTTGGTGAAGTTCCAGAGCAGCTTGGAAAAGAAAATCAACACGTGAGACAATTCTTAGCATCCTTTTTGTTGTATTGAAGTACTACTGGACGTGGTTCATCTGGTGGAAGCATGAGAGCAAAAGGTTTCTACTGAGACAAATCTTATGAATATATGAATCCATTTCCTCAATGAATACATGTATTATATGTGAACAAACCCCTGTGTAGAACTTTGGGGATGTAAGAGCTCCTGATGGAGACCATTTTAAAGAGAACTTTAGTCACATGACGACATGTTGGAGACACTACAGGTCAAAGAATTAACACATGAATGTGTATTTAGGATGTCTAAAAGTCCTCGTGTCCGTACCGGAGACTCCGAGTCGACGGGACACTCCTGGACCAGGACGCTGACGGTCTCGTTGGGCAGCCGGGTCACGATGTAGGCGGCGGCCTTGTAGACGGCGACGCTGTTCCCGTCAAACGTGATCACGTTCAGGTCCGGGAACACGGAGCAGCGACCTGCAGCACACGGGGACGGAGCCACAGGGGACATGAACATGCCTGACGTGGTGACGGAATCATAGCACGGCGGGTACGTTTGTCTTCCTCACATGGACAGTCCCACTTGGGGCAGCACTTGTCTCCGTTGACCAGAACGGCGAAGCCGAGCAGGCCGCAGTTCGGGGGGTCGGAGGTGAAGGGGCAACTCTGGGACTTGTTGAAGAGGACGAGCTGGTTGTTGACACAGATGTACTTTGTGCAGTCGTCGACTATCTCCGCGTACGGAGGCTGGGTGGAGACAAACGGAAGCAGGAAGTGACACGTGAGCCGTACAGACGTATGCAACCAAAAACTAAACAGCTGGAAGCTCCACAAACGTCTCTCTCTTCACATGAATAAAGACGCTGCTTTATACGCCGCATTAACGCCGCGTCGGCCATGTTGGATGACCAATAGCAGCTGGTCAGGTTTATCAATAAAGAAAACTAGGAATCATGTGACTGACGTTCCACCTACTGTGCACGTCCGTGTCGCCCTGGACGCCGTCGCCTCCGCTGCGTGTGCGGTCGACGCGGGAGGCCTCGCCGCACTGGTGCGATTGGCTGCGGCCCCCCGCGCGGTGGTCTGGACTGACGTGGCTGCCGCGGGTGACGAGGTAGCAAAGGGCTTCTGGGTAGAGACGAGGTGAGCGTCGGGCGGAGGCGTCGCCGGTCGGGGCGCCTTGGTCGTCAGGGTTCCCTCGGGTGCGGGCGACTCTCGAACCGTTGTCGGGGAGACGGTTGTAGACACCACGGGCGTTGTGAGGGTGGGAATGGGCGCCGGCTCACCAACGGCGGTGAGGTCGGGCGTTGATGTGGATGTCGTGGTCGTGTCGGCGCGCTTGGTCGAGCTCAACGTGGCGACCGGCCCGGCAGACGCTGGAAGAGTCGCAGACGTGGTCGTCAATCCAGGCCCGACGGGGGTCGATCCGGTTGACGATGTTGGGGGGCTTGTTGCCGCGGTAACCCTTGCGGTGACCGGCCTGACGGAGGGCCTCTCGGGCGACGTGATTCTCGGGGGAACCCGCGTCGTGGCGGGAACCCCGGGTGTCGACCCAACGGTGGTTGTTGGGGCGGTGGTGGTGCTGGTCGGCGTAAATCTTTCAGTGGGCATCGAATGGGTGGTGGCTACGTCCCAGACAGTCGTCGACCCCGGCGGGGACCGAGACGGAGTCGGCGTTGTTTGCCAAACCTCCGCCCTGCTGGTCGGCACCTCCGCCCTGCTGGTCGACACCTCCGCCCTGCTGGTCGACACCTCCGCTCTGGTGGTCGACACCTCCGCCCTGCTGGTCGACACCTCCGCCCTGCCGGTCGACGGACGCGTTGTCTCGGTAACCGACTGCACTGTGCCGGGACTGAGCGTGGTGGTCAAAACACCCGGTGGAGGTCTTGTAGAGGTGGTGGTGAGAAGTGTCTCCGGGACGCCGGGCGCAGGGGTAGGCGGGGCAGAGGTCAGTATCTCGGTTGTCATGGCTGCAACTTCTGTGGTGATTTCTGGAGGCGTAGCAGAGGTGACAGGCGGCGTAGACTTTGCGTGACGACGAGTTTCTTCGGTAGTTTCTGCTGAAGGGACTTCGAGGAGGACAGTTTTAGACGTAACCTCCGGTTGCGTCTTCAAGGTGGAGGAGGCGTCCCGATGCTCAGAGACCCGAGCGGTAGAAGCCGGATGGGCGGAGCTCCCTGGCGTCGGTATACGCGGCACAGCGGTGTTTTCTGTAGGAGGCATTGGCGCAGTGGTCGGTCTCGTCGTGCCAGGAGGACCCGAGGACGCGGTGAACATCTCTGCTGGTCTGGAAGTCGCTGTGGTCTTCTCGGCTGTCGGGCCGGTGGCGGACCAGGAGGTTCTCTCGGCGTAAGTGGTGGTGGTGCTGGACCCGGGTGGAGTTACGATGTCGGTGATCTTTATGGGTCCGGCCGCCGTCGTGGAATCAAGTACGGTCGCTTTCTTCGTTGTTCTCCAGTCTGCTGAGGAGGGGGCAGGTGGTGCAGGTGTAGTCGATGCAGCGTGGGCCGTAGAAGACGCCACGGTGTCAGGAACAGCTGCTGCGGAAGTCGTGGGTTCAGTGCGCAGAAACGTGGCAGCAGGTGTCCTCATGTACGCCGTTGTTTTACTGGGGGTGAAAGGTGCAACTGGTGTGACTGGTTCTGTGGTGACAGCGGGTAAGGAGGTACTTCCTGTTTCACCAGGAGGGGAGATCGGGCCGGGCGAGGAGGTCACTGAGGCTGTTGAATGTGAAGGGACGGCTGTAGTGGTCGTTGCTGTTACTGTTGTTGTTGCTGTTGTGGTTGTTGTTGTTGTTGTTGTTGTCGGGGAAAGTTGCTCCACGATCCCTGTCTTTGTGCTGGTGTCTGTGATCGCAGTGGTACTTGAACTGGGAGCAGTGGTCCGCTCGGCAACTGGAGTCCCCGAGACCAGAGCGGGGCCGCGGACCAGAGGAGGTGACCACCCCGGTGACTGCTGCCGAATGAGTCGTGGCCACCGTTGGAGGCGGGGCTCCGAGGGTCGGTGCCACAGCGCTAGGCCGCTGCAGGGGGGCGGTCGTGGCGGTCGTGGCCGTCGTGGCGGTCGTGGCCGTCGTGGCGGTCGTGGCCGTCGTAGCGGCGGTAGCAGCGGTGGCGGCGGTGACCCAGGAGGGAGCCGTGACGGCGAGGGGAGTGCTACTCGTTGTGCCGGGGGGGCCGGGGGTGGGGCTTGCGGCTGTGGTCGTCCCCGCCGCAGCGGTGGCCGAAGCCTCGGCCCCTCTGACAGTAGCCGGCGGCTCCTCCACCTCGGGGCTGACGGTGGGGGGCGCTGGCGGCGTGGACGGGGGTCCTTGTGTTCTGGGGAGTTCAGGAGCTGCGGGACTGGAGGGGGGCAGCTCTTCGGGGGCCGGCGGAGCTGTGGACGAGGTCATCTGTGTGCTGGTGGCTTTACTGGGGGGAGGGGCGGAGGATGCTGTGGTGGTGGTGGTGGTGGTCTGAAGGGGGCGGGTGGAGGCAGCAGTGCTGGCGGGGGTTGAGGAAGTGGGCGGTGTTCCAGGCTTCACAGCGACTGGACCCTTGATGCCTGAACGATGAAGAGAGCGTCCATGAGACAAAGCGAGAGGGGCGGAGCTTGCGTATATTTTATGTTTGTATTGTTTGTGTATATTTTATGTTTGTATTGCTTGTGTATATTTTATGTTTGTATTGTTTGATCTGAAACTAGAAAGTTTAAAGGTAAAAATGTAATGAGACA